ACCCTAAACCTAACCCTTAACCTAACCCTAACCCTAACCCTTAACCTAACCCTAAACCTAACCCTTACCTTGAATCGGCTTGCTTTCAAAGCGCTATTTAAAGCGCCCTTTTTTCTCCGCGGTCGCTGTTGTCGCCCTGCTGATGACGTCAGCGACACGGTTTAATCGGGCGCGCTTTAGTGGAGCGCGGTTTTGTCGTGCCACGGATAAACTGGCCCAGTCCTGCTGGGGCTATTAAGAAAGTTGAGGGCTGCTTTCCAAGAGTATGGTTCATCTTTAGGCAAATATACTATTCTCCCTTCTTAATATTTCTCAAAAAATATTTCATTTTTCTAGGAGAGGGGTGGGTGATAACTTTCTATATTAGCAATGCAAAGTTTGGCACCCATTGCAGTCCCAACCTTAGGGCCATTCATATTTATTTTCCAACTTCAGGAGCAGAATGGAAGAGTATTTCCCCTCCCTTCTGGACAGTTGGCAACCGAATGGCTTTATACTTTCAACAGCAGTTTGCATAACATAATAATGTTATAACAAAATCATGAGAGGTTTTCCTGGCAGAGGAGCTCAAGGCGATTAAGATTGTTTATATGTTCAGCTGAAGTGGGCGATGAAAGGTTGGCAGCCTGGGATTTCAATTCACTTTCTGCTTGCAGCTCTTTTCAATCTGGGTTCAGGCAGGGGGGCATCACCAAAATGGCACTGGTTGCAATTCTCATGGATTTTTGTAGGGTTTGGGGTAGAACAATTTTTGCCCTCCTAAACCTCTCATCAGGTTTCAATATCTTTGCCAATGATATCCTTCTAGACCAGGGTTGTCACACTCAATTTAATTGAGGGCCGCATCAGGGTGTGTTTGACCTTGGAGGGGGGCGTGGCCAGGGTGGGCATGGCTAGCTCCATGTCAGTCATGTTGGAGGTACCTGTGGTCGCATGAGCGCTCTCTCAGTGAAAAACAAGCTGCTTTCGCTGGCAGAGAGTTGCAGGAGGCTGTCCCAGCCGAAAATGGAGCTCACGAGGCCAGATCCAAGCACCCCGCAAGCTAGATCCGGCCCCAGGGCTTTGAGTTTGACACCCGTGTTCTAGACTGCATTTGAGGACTGGCTGACTGCCTACTTCCAGTCCATGTGGGTGAAAGAGGGGTATGGTATTGGCCCCTGGGGTTCAAGCGTTTCATTATTGCATTTTAACATCTACATGAAACGGCTAGAAAACTTATATTCTTTGGTGCCCAATTATGTATGAGTAATCCTCTATTTACAAATTTATTTAGTGACCATCTGGTTACAATGACATTGAAAAAAGTGACATGACCATTTCCCACACCATTAGAGTACCCCCATGGTCACGTGATCAAAATAGGGACGCTTGGCAAGTGACTTGAATTTGTGATAATTGTCCTGGGGTCAGCCTGTGCCTTCATCTGGGAGTCTTCCGCGTGGCCTGAGAGGGACGGTGGAACTTTTCTGTGGATGAGACTTTGGCCCTCGACATGGTCTTGCCTTCCCCCACTGGAGACCTCTGGATTCTCCCTCCCATCCTGGCCTGGACCCCCACACGAGATGGAGGCTGCTGCTGCTGCATGTGGAAGCACAGAGAAGAAAGTTTGCAGGAAGCAGTTTTTTCCGAGTCCAACTTCTGCCTCGAGAGATTTCTGGAGAACAGGATGGGGTGACGAGGGTGCTGCGTGAATGAAGGCTGCCCCAATAAGCCAGCATCCATACTACAAATGATTGGAAATGGGGATTCCTTTTTGAGAACGGCCAGCTTCCCTCCTGGAGGACAGGGAAGCGTTGCTATCCCACCTCCCCCTCCTGCTCTCCAGAGATCTATCAAGGCAGAAGTTAATCTCGGAGGAAGCTGCTTCCTGCCAATTTTATCCTCTGCGCTTCCACACGCAGCAGTGTGGAAGTTGTGGGATACCAATTGTCCCCCACCTCGAGTTAGCCGGTGCAATTTATTCAATCCCCACCCAGCTCTCCGGAGTCAGCGGTGCCCAGTGAGCATTGCTGAGCAGGCCACACCCACCTGGCCATGACTACCTAGTGCTCACAACCCAGCTGTGAGCACCCAGCCGCATCTCCCCAGCCATGCCCACCTGGCCGCTTTGAGTCATCATAGCCTTACCTGCAACTGGCCCTTTGTGGGCAACCATAATGGTGATGTTGTCCTCAATGCAATTGAGTTGGACCCCTCTGGTTTACAGAGTCAGCATACAGCCCCCAACAATCTTGTGTTCTCATTTTACCGATCTCAGAAAGATTACCAGTTTTGAGGAAGAATTGGACAAGAAATGAACATAATTAGCAAGCAAGGGAAGCCTGATTAGCTTCTAAATTAAACAAAAGCAAGAATCGTCTTTTTGGAATTCCCAGATCATCCAAATCCCATCAACCTTGCTAGAAGGACCCTCTATTTGCAGAGCAAGTACATGTTAAATGCGGAGGCTTTGCATTTTGCCATTTGCAATATATGGAGTTTATTGGTTTCTGTATTAAGGTTTCATTGCTGTAAACCGTGTGGAATAGCCATGAGTTGAGCTGCCAAATGAGATTTTCAAATTAAGTAAAAATGCCTACAAACATATTTATATTCCTCTTTATTATATGTAGAAATAACTCAAGTTGGCAAACATACTTGAGATCCAAGTTCCCTTTCTCTGGCCCAGCATGGCGGCTCCCCTTGACTCTGTGAGAGGGAACTATCTCACTGGGACAGAGAAAGGAAACTCAGATTATAGACCTGCAGGCTAAAATATATGAAGAACAGCTACAGGACCTGGGCATGGCTAGTCTAGGGAAAACAAGAATCATGATAGCAGTCGTCCAATATTTGAGAGGCTGTCACAAAGAGGAGGGGGACAATCTATTTTCCAAAGGACCTGAAGGCCACAGTTGGAACAATGGATGGAAACGTATCAAGGAAAGATACAAACTAGAAATAAGGAGATATTCTCCGACAGTGAGAATAATCAATCAATGAAACAGCTCACCTTCAGAAGTTATGGGAGCTACACCACTGGAACCCCTAAAAAAGAGACTGGACTGCCCTGTGTCACAAATCGTATAGGGTCCTCTGCTTGGTTTGGACTAGATGACCTACAAGGTCCCTTCCAATTTTATTATTCTATTCCTCCCTGATGTTTGATACGTGTTTCACTTTTAAAAAATCATCCAAATATTACATGCTGAGGTGCGCTTACATAAGAGATAAGAAATTCAAGAGTCCTCTACACACTTCAAATTTTGCCTCAAGTAGCATTTCTTGTGTAATAAGTGAGGAATTGTGAGCAAAACACTGTCCACAATCTGGGTATACAAATGGTTACTCTCCTATGTGTAACCTTACATGATTTAGAAGGCTAGTCCTAGTACTGAAATCTTTCCCACAATCTGGACACTCATAGGGTTTCTCTCCTGTGTGAGTCCTCCGGTGTATCACTAAGTCATAATTCCGAGAGAAACATTTCCCACACTCAAGACACTCATATGGTTTTTCTCCTGTGTGAGTCCTTCGGTGTATCACCAAGTCATAATTCCGAAAGAAACATTTCCCACACTCAAGACACTTATATGGTTTTTCTCCTGTGTGAGTCCTCTGATGTAACACCAGCTTTGAATTATGCAGAAAACTTTTCCCACAATCCAGACACTCATACAGTCTCCTTTCTTTGTGAGTTTTCTGGTGTTTCACCAGTTCAGACTTGCAACTGAATTTTCCCCCACACTCTGGACATTCATACAATTTCTCTCCTTTGTGCGTCTTCAGGTGTATCACCAGGTCAGAATTCCAATTGAAACCTTTCCCACAATCCAGGCACTCATATGGTTTTTCTCCCGTGTGAGTTTTCTGGTGTCTCACCAGGTGGGAGGACTGACGGAAACTTTTCCCACAATCAGGACATTCATATGGTTTCTCACCCGTGTGAGTCCTCTGGTGAATCACCAAGTTTGAATTTTGAAAGAAACTTTTCCCACAAAAGAGACACTCATTTAATTTTTCTCCTGTGTGAGTCAACTGGTGCATCATCAGGTTAGAATTCCGTGTGAAAATTTTACCACAATCCAGACATTTATACAGTTTGTCCCCTGTGTGAGTTCTCTGGTGTACCACCAAGTCAGAATTCCGATGGAAGCTTTCCTCACAATCTGCACATCTATATGGTTTCTCTCCCGTGTGAATCCTCTGGTGTTTCACGAGGTAGGAATTCTGACTGAAACTTTTCCCACAATCACATTTATATGGTTTCTCTTCGGTATGTGTCTTTTGATGTTTCACCATGTCAGAATTGCGAGTGAAATGTTTCCCACAATCTGCACACTTATATGGTTTCTCTCCCGTGTGAATCCTCTGGTGTATCACCATGTCAGAATTCCTAGTGAAATGTTTCCCACAATCTGGACACTCATATGGTTTCTCCCCTGTGTGAGTCCTCTGGTGTTTCACCAGGTGGGAATTTTGAATGAAATGTTTACCACATTCCAGACACTTATATGGTTTTTCTCCTGTGTGAATCCTCTGATGTATCACCAGCTCAGAATTCGAACTGAATCCTTTCCCACAATCTGAACATTCAAACGGTTTCAGTCCCGTATGATTCCCATAGTGTTTTACCAAGTACGAATTATCACTGAAACTTTTCCCACAATCTGGACACTCATATGGTTTTTCTCCTGTGTGAGTCCTCTGATGTTTCACCAGGTTGGAATTCCAAGAGAAGCCTTTCCCACAATCAGGACACTCATATGGTTTTTCTCCAGTGTGAGTCCTCTGATGTACTTCCAACTCAGAATTCCAATTGAAACCTTTCCCACAATCCAGGCACTGATATGGTTTTTCTGCTGTGTGAGTCCTTTGATGTTTCACCAGGTTTGAATTCCGAGAGAAACCTTTCCCACAATCAGGACACTCATATGGTTTCTCTCCACTGTGAGTCCTCTGATGTACTTCCAACTCAGAATTCCAATTGAAACCTTTCCCACAATCCGGGCACTTATATGGTTTTTCTCCTGTGTGAATCCTTTGATGTATCACGAGCTTGAAATTCTCCTTGAAGTTTTTCCCACAATCTGGACACTCATATGGTCTCTCTCCCATGTGAGTCCTCTGATGTATCACCAGGTCAGAATTCCGAGAGAAGCTTTCCCCACAATCAGGACATTCAAAAGGTTTCTGGCCAGGGTGAGTCCTCTGATGTTTCACTAGGTTAGAATTCCGAGAGAAACCTTTCCCACAATCAGGACACTCATATGGTTTCTCTCCAGTGTGAGTCCTCTGATGTATTTTCAACTCAGAATTCCAATTGAAACCTTTCCCACAATCTGGGCACTCATATGGTTTTTCTCCTGTGTGAATCCTCCGATGTATCACAAGGTAGGAATTCTCCTTGAAGCTTTTCCCACAATCTGGACACTCATATGGTCTCTCCCCCATGTGAATCCTCTGATGTATCACCAGGTCAGAATTCCGGGTGAAGCTTTCCCACAATCAGGATATTCAAAAAGTTTATTTCCCAGTGTCAGTCCTCTTGTGTCTCACCATATTGGTGTTCATGCATAATAATTTGTTGCATTGGAAGCATTGGTAGAGTTTCTCTTCGGTATGAATCCTTCCATGAATTATGAGGAATGTTTTCCGAGTAAAGTTTTTACCACACTCCAAACATTTGTATTGCTTTTCACTGGATGGATCATGTTGCGCATAATCAGGTGTGACCTGCAATATGTGTTTTTCACACAATAGGTAATCTCTGGGGGTTTTCCAACACCGATATTCTTGGATTCTTGAGAAAGCCAAAAATATTTCTGATCTCTTACTTGGAGGTTCTTTGATTCAAACCACTCTTTCCTTCCGTAAATGTTTTCATTAATGTCTGCCCATTTTGGCCATCTGGACCTTTTTGTTCCCACTGACTTCCAGTTATTTCCACTTTTTCTTCATTTGGATATTTTCTTCCTTGACTGTTCATGTAATGTCTTCTTGTGTTCCGTATATTGTATTTACTCCGACTCAAAACTTTGTTCTTGTTATTCTCTCCCTTATCTCTCATTTGCGGAGGAAGAAGACTTTTTACACTTTCAAGAGGAATTGAAAAAATATTTTGACTGACATTTTGGATTTTAATGCTGCTTCTCATTCTCTGTTGTCCAGCGTGCTGTCCTTGGCATCCTCTTTCTCTATAAGGTTTACAGTAATGGGTTAGCTTCATGAATGTTTAAAAATGGCTGCAGGACCTGTGAAAGCAGCAAAAAAAATCCCATTAGCAGGAAAAACCAACATTCTGTTTTAACACATAATATTAATTATGATTCATTTTGGCATATAGAAGATTAGCAAGATCCAAGTTCAAATATTGACTTGATCATAAGATTATCTTTTTCAATCAATCTATCAATCAAATCAATCAATCACTCCGAATAATGCTGGAAGGGACCTAGGAGGTCTTGTAGTCCAGCCCCCTATTCAAGCAGGAGTCGGATATATCATTACACGATAATTTTTTGGCTTGGTTAATTACTCATGTACGCAGGCACACAGGAATAACACACCTACACATTTATGTATGTAGACGAATGGTAGTCAACCTGGTCTCTACCACCAACTAGTGGGCGTTCCAGCTTTCATGGTGGGCGGTAGGAGTTTGCTGTAACTCTGCTTTATAAATTTTATAAGGTAAAGTTATTTCCCTACTTTATAAATCACCATTATTGTGGAACTGGTGGCCAGTTAGAAAATTTTACTGCTAACAAAAGTGGGTGGTAGGTATAAAAAGGTTGACTACCCCTGATGTAAACAATCGATGTGCATTTGCTCATATTTTTCATCTAAATCCAGAAATCTGGGGCCATTACTAGATGACTTGGTGACCAAATCCTATGCAAAATTTACAACATCCGTTTTGCCCATGAAACTCCTCACCTGCCAGGAAAATATAGCCTTTATTATCATTGTACATCCTGTCAATAAAACAACAGGTCAATAAAATAATAAAGTGTTAGGTGAAAGCTAAGCGATTTGGGCGGGTAAGAAATATGAAATGAAGACTTTTTAAATCTCCCAAATCTCCAAGCTGCAGTTTTAAATCAAGCAGCATAAAGATAATAAAATTCAGGGGGAGAAAGAATAGGCAGCAAAAGCCACCATGTTTCAGCCTCGTTGCTTCCTCTGCATCTACGCCGTGGAGGAAGCCAAAGGGCCCGGCTTGCTCTCGGCTTCTCCTCCGACCTTCCCTCCACTCACCTCCCAGGAGCCGCTTCGACCCTCCAAACAGCACAAGAGGCTCCGCCGACATCACCCTCCTCTCCTGGTGACTCGGAAGAGGAAGTTCTTCTGCCCTTCTCCTCGCCTCCACATCATCGCTAGCAATGGAATACTCTATCGTTTCCACCCGTTCAATCTCAGCCACTGCCTCTTCCTTAGATTAGCGCTGCCGCCGCTCTACCATTCCCGCTTTGTAGGCCTCTGTAGAACGCCATCTAGCGTTCTAGAGGCAGAAGAAAACACTCTTTCTTCCCACAGGCGTTTGCAAGATGTTCTCATTGATTCCGTGTTTCCTTCTGTGCCATCAATTCCTATTCGAGTCCCACCGAGCTCATCGATAGCTTCCCCCCACACACACTGGGCTCCATCCCAAAACCTTTTTTTTCAGGTCCCCCGAGAGGGCATTCGTTGTCCTTGGAGCTGAGCCCAAAGCTTCTTTTTCCAGAAGGGCAAGTAAACCAAAGGAAAGATCCCTTTGGGGCTGGAAAAGATGTGCAAATGGGAAGGGAGAAAGTGCACCTCTGTTAGTTTGTTTTTCCTCTTGGTGTGTGCGTGTGCATAACAATTCCTCAAAACTTGTCTCAGCAACTTACCGTATTTTTCAAAGTATAAGATGCACCAAGATTTTAAAGAGGCAAATTAAAGTTTTTGCACTCTGCAGACCTCCCCAAAACGGCCTCGTTTTTCACAAAAATGGGCCCATTTTTGTCAAAAAAAGGGGGAGGGCATGCATAGCCTTTAGGAGGCTTGTAGAGTGCTGCTGGGGGCAAAAACGAGCAAAAAACGGCTGTTTTTTATAAGCGCACTATAAGCCTCCTAAAGGCTATGCACAGCCATTTTTGCAAAGGGGGCAGGGTTTTGGGAGGCCAAAAATGCTGTATTCAGTGTTTAAGATGCACCCAGATTTTCACCCTCTTTTTTGAGGGAAAAAGGTCTGTCTTATACTCCGAAAAATACAGTAACTGAAGCTGTAAGAAGGAAGCTTGATCCCTTGTCTCTGCTGGGATTTTCTTTTACTTCCATGTTTAACTAACAAACATCCTATTGGTGCCCCATCCCTGCTTAGCAATGGGAAGTTTGGCAGCAACTGCTGACTTTTGACCATTTTTCACACTTACCACCATTGCAGCATCCCAAAGGTCAAGTGATCAAAATGGGGACACTTGGCAATTGACTCACATTTGTGACAGTTGCAGTGCCCTGGGGTCATGTGATCCCCTTTTGTGACTTGAGCTGGAGCACAAATTGGAGCTCCACCTGGACTCCCAGTTCCTGATTGAGATCATGGTTGTGGGAGATGTTTTGCACAGACTCATCTAGTGCACCAATTGTTCCCTTTCCCGGACTGTGAGGCCTTGCACAATGGTTCATTCATTCCTTGGTCACTTCCTGTTTTGGATTACAATCCTGGGTCCCCCAGAAACTTCAACTGCTCCAGAACGCAACACACACATGTGCGCACACAATAATGGGAGTCCCTAGACTGCCCGTGTAACACCTTTGTAGTGCGAGCTGCACTGGATTCTTTTAAGGTGCAACTGAAAATGCTGACCATTACATTTAACACTATTTGTTTATTAAAGCAATAGCAATAGAATTATATACCACTCCACAGTGTTTTATAGCACTAAATAGTTTGCAGTGTCAGAATATTGCCCCCACCCCAATATAGCTCCTCATTTTATCAATCTTAGAAGGACGGAAGGCTGAGTGAACCTCGAGCTCTGTCAAGATCAACTTCCAGGCTGTAGGCAATCAGCAATACCACAGTCTAACCACTGAACCAACAGACCACCTGTCATTATTGTCCCATCTTTATTTTTGCATCTATCGGTTCTTCCAGGTCGGATGGCCAAGCTCCTAGCTTTTTACCTTAAATATTGCCATCTGATAGGAGCTAGGAAGAGAGCCTTCTCCACTGTTGACCTTGACCTGCAAGAGAATCTTCCCCCTGAAGTTTGGCAGGCCTTTATGCTCCTAGTAAAGGAAAGAAGTAGCTTTTCCTCTGAGTGCTGGGATAAGAAAAAGCACCTGCGTATCAGAAGCTTGATTTTGTACCTGGGTATGGTTTAAATGCATTTGGTTTTAATACAGTTTTTAAGTTAATTACTGATTAGAAGCAGGCCAGAGTTTGTTATTATATGGATGGCTACACAAATATTTTGAATAAATCAGAGGAAAGAGATGAATCCCAAACATGGCCCCACTTAGGCTGCCTATGTGCAAGTTGGTTGAGGCACTGATGTTCTACACATTTCTTTTAATTACCAAATGTATATGCAGCTATCACTGTGGTTAACTACTCCAATTTAACACTTGGAAAGCACCTTCGGGACATCCTTGCAAGGAGAAAGATTACCAGCTCTGAGCAAGAATGGCATCAGGCACGAACATAATTAGTAAGGCCAGGACTGGTTAACTTCCAATTTGAACAAAAGCAAAAACCACCTTTTTGCAATTCCCAGACCATCAAATGGCCATCAACCTTGATACCCATGCTTTCTACTTGCAGGGCAGGTGCATGTTAAGTGTGGGGACTTTGCATTTTGCAATATATGGTGCTTATTGGTTTTTGTATTAAGGTTTTATTGGTGCAAACCGTGCAATCACCATTAGTTGGGCTGCCATATACATTTTCATGCTAAATAAAAATAGAAAACAGAATAACAGAGTTGGATGAGACCGTGGAGGTCTTCTAGTCCAATCCCCTGCTCAAGCAGGAGACCCTAAATAATTGTAGTATGTACATACACACATATATGTTTATATCCCCCTGTACTATATGTAGAAATAACTCAAGGCAATAGACATACCTAATGGAGCTCTAAACTCCCTTTCTCTGTTCCAGCAATGGCAGTTCCTTTTGACTCTGTGAAAGGGAACGGCCACACTGGGCCCAAGAAAGGAAGCTCAGAACAAAGAAAGGAAAGAGAAAAGAAGACGAAAGAAAAAGGAAGCTCAGATGTGATTAGAGAAAGGAAAGAAAAAGGAAGAAGAAAGCAAAAGGAAGTCCAGATCAAAGTAGAAGCCTGCAGGCTAAAACATATGAAGAAGTTACATGAAGTGAACATGGCTTGTCTAGTGAAGACAAGAACCAGATGTGACATGATAGCAGTCTTCCAATATTTGAGAGGCTTTTCACAAAGAGGAGGGGGGGACAAATTATTTTCCAAAGCAGCCGAAGGCCAGAGGTGAAACAATGACACTGATCAAAGAGAGATACAAACTACAAATAATGATAATATTTAAGACAATCAGGACAATCAACCAATGGAACAGCTTGCCTTAAAAAATTATGAGTGTGAACTTTGTGTGAAACCCTGTCTGCAATCTGGGCGTTTGAATGTTTACTCCCCTATGTGTAACCTTACATGATTTATAAGGCTAGACCTAGTACTGAAATCTTTCCCACAATCCGGACATTCAAACGGTCTCTCTCCTGTGTGAGTCCTCTGGTGTTCCACCAGATGGGAATTCTGCCTGAAACCTTTCCCACAAGCCGGACACTGATATGGTTTTTCTCCTGTGTGAGTTCTCTGGTGTATCACCAAATTGGAACTCTTACTGAAAGTTTTCCCACAATACAAACACTCATATGGTTTTTCTCCTGTGTGGGTCTTCTGGTGCTTCCCAAGTTCAGACTTGCAACTGAAAGTTTTCCCACATTCTGAACACTCATATGGTTTCTCTCCCGTGTGAGTCCGCTTGTGTATCACCAGGCAGGAATTCTGACTGAAACTTTTCCCACAATCACTACATTTATACGGTTTCTCTCCCGTGTGTGTCCTATGGTGTTCGACTAGGTTGGAATTCCAACTGAAACTTTTCCCACAAGCGAGGCACTCATACGGTTTTTCTCCTGTGTGAGTCCTCTGGTGTTTCACCAGGTGGGAATTCTGACTGAAACTTTTCCCACAATCCGGACATTGATATGGTTTTTCTCCTGTGTGAGTCCTCTGGTGTATCATCAGATTGGAATTCTGACTGAAACCTTTACCACAATCCGGACATTGAAATGGTTTTATTCCTGTGTGAGTTCTCTGGTGTATCACCAGGCAGGAATTCAGACTGAAACTTTTTCCACAATCACTGCATTTATACGGTTTCTCTCCTGTGTGTATTCTGTGGTGTTCCACCAGCTGGGAAGTCTGCCTGAAACTTTTTCCACAATCCAGGCACTGATATGGTTTTTCTCCTGTGTGAGTCCTCTGGTGTTTCACCAAGTAGGAACTCTGACTGAAACGTTTCCCACAATCCAGGCACTGATATGGTTTTTCTCCTGTGTGAGTNCTTGGAGGAGGCCTAATCTATGGGATCTAATAGGTCGAGTGGAGGTGATTGGCTGTAGGCGGTCTCTCAAGTAACACCTCCTTAATAAAACCTTGATCCAGCTGGTCTGGCTGGTAGCACCTTGTAAGAGCCCCTTTCCAGGGTTACAGGAGAAGATGGTCAATGGTTTTGAAGGCGGAAGAGTGCTCTATGCCCCAATGGCAGCTAAAGCGGCAGAACCATCTTCTAGGAGAAGGGAAACTCTGATTACAAACCTCCACTGCCTTGTGGCTATATCCACTACTGGAAAAGACTTCAGGAGTCAACCTCAAGGAAAAATCTGGAGCCAGAGTCCTGGAAGCAGTTCGTCACTGCGTACAATCACGTTCTGGTAACTCCTTCAATGCAGCTGGAACCAATCGTATCAGCACTGCCATTCCATTGGACTATTTTAGCGATGTGAGAGGGGGGATCTGCTGCTTGGGTCACAGTCTATCCTCCATATTAATCTATCCAGGCCGTGCTCTGGAGAGGATACTCCAGCATTATCTCCTTCCAGAGCATGATACCATAGTCTTTTGAGACTGAAGGATGCCAATGCCAAAACCACTTGTAAATTAAGAAGCAGTGCATAAGTCTAAGTGCTACTGCTACTACTATTTGTTGCTTTTATAATAAATAACTATTTTTTTCTTTCATTGTACATTAAAGCTTATGTTAGGTTTTGTGTCAGCTTTTAGTTTGGGGTAATTTTGTTTGCTAATGAATAACAGAATAACAGAGTTGAAAGGGACCTTGGAGATCGTCTAGTCCAACCCCCTGTACAAGGAGGAGCCCTATTCCATTCTCAACAAATGGCTGTCCAATCCCCTATCATTAATCTTGAAGAAAACAACAACTACCCACCAAAATAAGGACACTGAAGTATTGCCAGCTTGCCACTGAATTTATCTGAACCTAAACTGCCTTATGAGTATTTACAGACATTTATTTCTTCTGGCAAGTCTTCCACCACCAAATGTGACAAACAGAGGTGGATACCTACTGGTTTTGCCTGGTTCGGCTGAGTAGATAGTAACTTGGCTTGCCACGCCCCCGAACCAGTTTTATCAGTGGCAGCGCCATCTTGATTTTCAGTTCTGCGCATGCGCAGAACAAACTTCATTGCAAAAAATTATTTTTTGTCCTTTTCTAAAATTGTGCGCATGCGCAGACCTTTTTAGCTGCAAATGCACATGCGCGTGGGGCAAAACTGCCGGTTCAGCACACAAATTTTTTGTGTGTGCTGAAACCAGCAGTAATGTTGGTAGCAACCCATATTCAACTAGCAACGACATTTTTTATTTTTTTGGCTCATTGGAGTTATTATTTTAAATAAAATCTGTGACAAAAATTAATTATAGAAGATGAATGTATGCATTTATTTCATTGTTTTATTACAGTGTCTCATTCTGGATGGACTCAGTATCTGTATTCATTATAATAAGCTATAGGTTAAATCTTAGGGACTGAAAATCTTTAGCTCTGCAGATATTGTTGGAATAGAATTATAGTGGTAGGTGGTCTGGAGTAAAAAGTCACCCTTAATTTGTTTCTTGTAATTTGATATCTTGCATTCTATATTTCCCATATACATTTTTAAATTTGTACCCTCTCCTGTAACTATGAAGTGATGCTTAATGTCCTAAAATGATGACTTAATCATTAAGAGACACAACATTTTGAGATGTGTTGGTGGCACTGGAAGACAGAATGGATTTTGTGTTTCTAGGAAAACATTTTCAGTCTTAGGAACAGAAGGTCTCATTTCTATCCTTAATCTTGGAAAAAAGCAGCAATTACCCCCCAAACTTAGGTCACTGAAGAATTGAAAGTTTGCCACTGAATTTCTGTGACCCTAAACTGCCTATTCCTTCGCCCTTCATCAAGAGAGGCACCTTGCCAGTTTTCTATTACTTTTATATTCCAATTTGGAACATTGCCATGCAAAAAGCCCATGAAATGATGTGTTACAAATTCTGAGAAGAAAGCCAATGCCCACCATGTATACATTATATATTTTCAAATTAAATACCCATATAGAAGTATACCATTATGGATTTAAAGGTAAAGGTATATATATATATATATTTATATATACAACAACACTAGGTCGTTGTTGCTTTAAATGAGTGGATGTACTTATCAGGTGTAATTAACTTTAGTATAAGAAGGAGTCAAGAGAGCTCTCTCTCTCTCTCTCTGCTTGTCCTATGCTTGAGGACTGGATGTGAACTGCGACTGTAAGCTATTGTTTGTTCTTTGAATTGTGTTTGGACTAATATCTACTATCTACTATCACTGCTTGA